CGCACAAGTACAGCCCACACACATCCTCATGCTTGTGTATACAGGCATAACATATGTGAATGCACCAGCAAGTGCACACATGTGCACGCACACACACATAGTACCCACACTCATGCATATGCATGCACACATGCACATTCATGCATGCAAGTGTACACTCTGGTGCACACACATGTACATTCCACACATGTTCTCGCACACGCTCACGCACATGTGCACACATCCATGCAGAGATACACACATCATGCACAAGTGCATCAATATACAAGTGCACACACATCCATGCATGTGAACACAGTACACTCACATGCATGCACACATGTGTGCATAGGCAGGCACATACATGCACATGGGCATGAATCACATACCACATGGCCACATATAAATGCACACAAACACACTTGCACTCACATGTCAGGTACATGTGTGTGTAGACATGCACACTGCCCCCACCCCCCAAACTGCAAGCAGGTACGTGTTGGGGGAGCCACAGGGGCCAGGGGGGACACCTGCTCCAGACTGGGAGTTCAGAGAAGACTTTCTGGGAAGGCTCTCTGGAGGAGGTGATACCTGTCCAAACTGGATTTTAGAAGAATTTGGAGTCTGTCACAAGAAGAGACATTAGGGCAGAGAATTTCACAACAATGTAAGCACCGCAGGGCAAGCATTTTTGTCCAGGTTATTACTTAGTGCCTACAGCATGCTTGATGCATAGTAGGTGCTCAGTAACCAAGTCCTAAGGAATAAAGACCAAAAAGAATAAAGAAAGAGGAAAGAGTTCATGGGAGAACCACTTCTGGGAGCTGAATGTGCAATAGTTCCAGGTGGCTGTAGCTTAGGCAACTGGGGTTGGCCTGGGGGAGTGGTGTTATCTTGTCCTATTGTTGGTTGTATTTGGTTCTTATCTCTCTGTGGGGCCAGTCTCTACTTTGGAGATGGCTCTACTTTTTCCTCTCTTGGTCTTGCCACAGCTCCTGATGTTACATTGAATGTTAATATTCAACATGTTGTTGTTGTTATGTGCCGTGGAGTTGGTTCTGACTCATAGCGACCCTGTACAGGGTTTCCAAGGCTATAAATCTTTACGGGAGCAGAAAGCCTCGTCTTTCTCTTGTGGAACAGCTGGTAGTTTCGAACTGCTGACCGTGAGGTGTGCAGCCCGATTCGTAACCACTATGCTACAACATACAGGTAGTGAATACTGTGTTGGGTGCTGAGGACACACGGAGGATGATTCAGACCTAGTTTCTGCCCTCCAAGTCTGTTGGGTGAGACAGACAGTCAACAACTGACCATAACAATGGGCAAAATGAAATGAAAGTTCTGGGAAAAGGAGACAAAGTGGGATAGAGGGATGAGTCTAACTCAGGAAATGAACCATAACGTTGTCTAGAAGGAGATGCCATTGGAGGGGAAATTCAGAATGGTGGAAAAAAGAGTTTGGGGCAGAAGGTACTACAGACAGAGAGCCACTACGCTCAAAGATGTGGTCCAGGAAAGGTGGGGGTTGGGGGAAGTAGTGGGAAAAGAAAGGTTGGGGTCATCAAAATCTGTTCTTGGATGTTAAGACTTGGCTCTGATCCAACCTTATTTTGGACGATGCTGCCAGAAGCCCCACACCTACTCAGAGCTGAACAGCCTTTGTCCCAGGAACTCATCAGCTCACTTCTTGTCTTCAGCAGGCTGGGGGGGCTAAGACACCCTTCATGCTCTCTCTGACTGGTCTTCCCGCCATCTCTTTCAACACCGCTGCAAACCAACTGGAGCTCTTTCTGTGTCAAGCCCAAACAAAGGGCAGACCTCAGAGACTGGATGTCTGGCACAGGTTCCCCAAATACTCTACCCGTTTCTGCTTGCCACTGGAGTCTCTGGGTGGTGCAAATGGTGAGTTGAAAGGTTGGTAGTTCAGGACCACCCAGAGATGCCTCTAAAGAAAAGCCTTTGAAAATTAGTCATTGAAAACTCTATGGAAATAAGCAAATAGAGAGAAACCCAAGATTATCCATGGTTACCTGAGATTGAAGGGAGGCCAAAAGATGAAGTTTTTGCTTAGGGGGCACTGAGTGTTATGTTAAAGGTGGTGGAAAGTTTTGGGGAAAGATAAAGGAGGATATGTCTGCACAACTTGAAGAATGTAATTAATGTCACTGAATTGTACATGTAGAAATTGATCAGATGGCAGATATTTTTATATATACTTTCACACAATTAAAAAATAACCCAGTAGAGTCCTGGTATAGCACTGTGGAGTCCTAGGACAAGCACTGGACTGGACCGCAAGGTCAGTTTGAACCACAAGGTTGGCAGTTCAAACTCACCAGCAGCTCCTTGTAAACAGGATGGCTATGAGTTGGAACTGATTCCATGGCAGTTAGCAACAACGTAGAGTACAATTATACCCTGATACACATGGACTCTGGTACCGTAGTGGTTACGAATCGGGCTGCCAACCTTAAGGTCAACGGTTCGAAACTACCAGCCGCTCTGTGGGAGAATGATGAGGCTTTCTACTCCCGAAAGGATTTACACCCTCGGAAACCCTGTACAGGGTCGCTATGGGTCGGAACCGACTCGACGGCACTCAACAACAACAACACATGGACTCATTACGAGTCAGCACCAACTCTATGGCAAAGATTTGTTTTTTCCTGCTTGCCACACATGCTCTGGAAGGAGGTGTTAGCCCCTTTTCCAGGGAAATCTTGGCACTATAGAGAATCAGGCTCTCAAGAAAATGAAAGTTCTTTTAACCCCCCTTTACCATTTGACAGATGAGGAAACTGACACCCCAACAGATATGTGTATGTTCCAGCCCTAACCCTGACAGGATAAGGTAGAGACCCTCCCTATGGTAGAGCTGGAAAAGGTCAGCCTTTTCCTTTAGCCAGGACCTAACAGATAATGTCATTTGTGGGCCTTGCAGACACAAGATGAGTCAGGCTTCTTGTGAGTCAGTGTGTTGACAAGCCATCCCTAGCCATTCCTAGCCCATCAAAAATAGAAGAAGTCCAGGGGAAGGGTATGGGCAGGCCAATTTAATTAGTGAGGGCTCTAAGGTACCTAAGTTAGTCCTATTAAATTAAACTGCCTAGGGGAAAAATAACTGTAATTATTTCCTTCTCTCCCCTATCGATGTATTTCAATTCCCTCCCAACCTCCATGCCATCTTCATTCACAAAATAATCTTTAAACTCAGTTTATGTGTCAGCACACAAGACACATAAACTAGGGCTCAGTGTCTCCCTTTTTCAGGTCCTTTCCTCTGGGTGCTCTGTATCGGGTCAGAGAGCAGAGTGAGTCCAGAGGCATCCGCAGGGCCTAGCTATATTCTAATTTAGGCAGGCTATTACACTGTGTAGAACATTATTCCAAAAATGCACCCAGAGTCTCTTTCCTGAACCAATGCAGATCTGTTTGCTGCGGGGCATTTCTTTTAAAAGCCTCTTTTACACATAAAAATAAGCAAACTTTAATGGTAGGGAATTATTATTTATTTTCTTGAAATCTAGTTTTGAGTTTTCCTACTTGAAACATGTTTTCCCCAAGACACTGACCTATCCTTTAATTGTTTGGTGCGAGGCATGTTAGGGGGAGGGGCGTTACTTGTTTATTGGAACAGCGCAGTTAAAAAAAAAAATCAACCTAGGCTAACAGTTTCAAGGCTCCCCTAAAGATGTATCCAAACAGGCAGCCAATCAGCGCTTACACAGCTTTTTCTGCTTGACTCTTTTAAAGGGACAGTGCCCACAGTGCTTTATCGCATTTAAAGAGAACCGCGCTCTAAAAACAACCTGAAAATGGGAGAGCCTTCCTATGTTTAACCGGTTTCTAGTTTTAAAGTCTCTAAGGAGGTGCACACAGTGTGTCCTTGGGGTTCTTGGCGTGGGTAGAAAGGAGTCGGTAGCAAATAACTGGACCACTCTCCAGCCCTCTCTCAATTTCCCATTGTACACCTGGGTCACTGACAATGGAAGCTTCCCCTCCCCCCACGCCTGACTCTCGGTTCCCCCACCCCCCCCGCCCCAAACTCCCCAATTTGGCTTCATTTATTTGAAGTTTGCAGATTCCTGGTAGCGCGCATTACGCGTCGCCGGCCTCCCAAGTGACGCACCCCCATCCCTGAAAGGCACCGTTTCCCGAGAAGCCGAGGGGCTAACTTGCCAGGGCTGGCAAACCTCGGGAATTTGGAGAAAATCGCTCTCCCTCCGTAATCCAAGTCCCTCATCACCTCCTCCCGGCTCCCCAAAGCACGCCAAGGGCCATTTTCGCGCGGCTCCACTTTGGGGTTTTCCAAAGTATTTTAATGATCTAGTAAAGAAGCAGCCGCGCGCCTCGGCGTCGGCCCGAGCCGCCCAGCTCTCAGCGTGGAGCCCCGGGCCCGGCGCTCGGTAGCGAGACTGGGAGAGAGGGAGGGCCCGGGAGGGGGGGCCGGGCTGGAGTCGGAGAGGGGGTCGGAGTCGGAGCCTAGGGGGAGGGCGGCTACGAGGAAGGGGGAGATAAGGGCTGGGCTGGTGCGAGCCGCGGCGGGGGGGGGGGCAGGAGGGAGGCCAAGAGCCGATAAGGGAGAGGGACGTGGCGAGAGGGAGAGAGCGGCGCTAGGCTCCGGGGTCCGAGCCCCCTCCCCTCCGAAGCTGCCGCAGAGCCCCCACACCCCCTCCCCAGTAGTCCACGCCGCGGGGAGCGCTGGTCAAATCCCCCTCCTCGCTCGGACCAGGACATCATAGCGCCCCCTCCTGATCCGTCCCTTCCACACACATCTACGGAAAAAGGAGGCTTGCGCTCTCGGACGCTCCGAATTCGCCCGCGGGAGCAGTGGCAGTGGCTCCGCCGAGGCGGCCGCAGCGGGGACTGCCGTGGCCGGGAGCTGACAGGGCGTCCCTCCTGGGCCGCCCCGGGCCCGCCCCCGCGCACGCCGATTGGCCGCGGTGGCCATCCATCGCGGGACGTTGACGCCCGCCTCGCTCCCTCGCCCGGGTAGCCACGTTCGGTTGAGCTCCAAGTAGACCAGCGGCAGCGGCGGCGGCGGCGGCAGCGGTGCCGGAGGCGCAGAGAGCGGCACAGGCGGAGCCGGGCGGGCGGGCGCGCGAGCTAGCGATCGAGCGGGCAACCGGGCGGGCGGCGCGCAGCGGCGGCGACGGCGGCAGCCCCAGGCCGAGCCGGCGCGGGAGGAGTTCCAGGGCGATGGGGCCGCGGCCGGGGCTGACGCTTTGACAGCTGGAAAGAGCGCGGAGCCAGCGCCTGGGGGGGAGGGAGGGGAGCGCGGCGAGGAGAGCGAGCGAGCGAGCGAGCGCCGGGGAGGGGGCCGGGAGCGAGGGTGCAGCTCGGGAGCAGCCGGAGAGGTAGCAGCGGCGGCGGCGGCGAGGCTCGGCGCCCTCTTCTCTGCAAACCATGTTTGCCAAAGGCAAAGGCTCGGCGGTGCCCTCGGACGGGCAGGCTCGGGAAAAGTAAGCCCCATTTTCCAAGTGTCGGCCGTGCAGCCGCCGGGCTACGGGCGGTGGGAGGCAGGTGGGCGGGCGGGCGGGGGTCGGGGTCTGCTGCGTCCCGGGCCCCCCGGCGCCGCCTGCCTCGTTGCTTCCCTGAGGCCGCGGCGGGTGGCAGGGGAGACCCCATTGTTGGGAGCCGGCGGAGGTTAGGGCAACGGGGAAGGGGCGGCAGGGAGTGCCTCCGGGGAGGGGGCACTTAGTGGCCGCTGGGCGGGCCGCGCGCGGGGCCCGGGGGTTAGGGGTGGGCGAGGTCCCGCGCGCCTCAGCGTGGGTCCCAGCCCGGGCGCTCGGCGCAGTGGCCGCACTTTGCCTACCGGGCGCGGGCAGGGGGCGCGTGGCTTCTGCAGCCCCAAAGGCTCCTTTTGTCCGCCCGCGGCGTGAGGAGTGCGTGCCGGGGGCTTTGTTCCGGCGGGAGCGCTCTCCTTTCCCTGCTCTCGGCCTTGCCGCCGGCCCCTCGCCCTCAGGGGCACCAGGCTGAGTAGGGACGGTGGCGCCAGCATGGCCCTAGGCTTGGGGGACAATTGTTTATGGGGAAAGTGGTGAGTGAGTGTGGTGCTTTGCTACCTTCACCAGAGCTTGCGGGGCACCAGGAGTTCAGGGCTGAGTCTTTCCGGACCCCCAGAGCTGGGAGACGGTGGAGAGAAAGAGTGGGTAGGGAAAAAGAGGGTGGATATGGGGTCGGGTGGCTTGTGAGTTGGAGCGATCTATGTGGGTTTAGTCCTAGTGCCACTTGGGAGTTCAACTTTGGGGCTACTCTCCAGCCCCCACAGTTTGAGGAAACGCGTCCCCTGTACCCACCTCTTTACTGTTTTGACCCCACCATCCCAGGCTGGGCCTACCTGGCTGCCTGGGGTCGGAGCCACAATGGGACAGCAGAGATAGGGCTCAAAGCCTGCTGGCAGGGTCCAGGGAGCGAGAGCCCCGTGTGATCTGACGCCTTCCCTCTCTCTTCGCCCCTTGCCCACTTTCCAGGTTAGCTTTATACGTCTACGAATATTTACTGCACGTAGGAGCACAGAAATCTGCACAGACCTTTTTGTCGGAGGTGAGTGGAACTCCCCCCAGCATCCAATTTCTTGACACACCCCCCTCCCCACTATTCTTAGAGCCTTTGTTTTCAGGAGCAGCCACTGTGGCCACCATTTTGAATTTTTATCACCTTTTGGCATTTATTGTTAGTTGGTCTTCACAGCCTTTTGGCTCTGGGAAGCCCCCAGCCCACCCCTCCTTTCTCCTCTAAGCTGCCTCTGCTCTCTCCTTTACAGATTCGATGGGAAAAAAACATCACGTTGGGAGAACCGCCAGGGTTTTTGCACTCGTGGTGGTGGTAAGTTTGTGTGATAGTTTTGTGTGTGTTTGTTTTGTTTGGAGTCCTGGGTCCCAGGGAACAAAGACAGGAGGCCTGGAGCAGGTCCCCCACCCCCCTACTCCTTAACTCTCATCTGTACATTGTACAGGGCCTTCCCACCAGGACTGGTAAAGGAGGAAAAGGGCCCAAGAGGCTGGTGCCCAAAGTTTTTGCCTTTCCTCTTCCATTGAACATAGATTACATTGAGCCTGGTGTTTGGGGAGGAACTCCTTGCTTTTGCATCTCACTCTGGGCCACTCAGCAGGGGTCTCCAAAGCCCTTGAAGGATTTTTGTCAGTTCTGCATGCTGCTTTAATTAGAGTGGGTCCGTTTGGGTCTGGTGGGGTGAGGTGGAGGGAACTAGGTCTGTTTTACAACTGCGGGGGTCTCTTCCTTTTCTTGTGTGAGCTTACAACCTTTTCAAAGCACCTTGAGCCTGAGGAAAAGCAAAAAGGGGTTGATGCTCCCTTTAATAATTCTGATTAACACTGACCGGACCTTCCTTTCACAAACTATGTGCCATTTTTCTCCTCCCCTGCCTCAAAGCATCCTTAAAACCACAAAGTTGCACTTCACTGAGAGCCTTAACTGGTCAGAGTAGACCTCGCAGTGTGCCTGTAGTTTGTAGTTAGGGTTCTTTCTTCATATGGGACTCCTGGGTTCTGTGGATGTGGAGCTACTTACTACAAGTCTGGTTTGCTGCAGGCATAAGGGGGGGTGGCCCAGGTCAGTGGGAATGAGTTGCCAGGAATGTCTGACCTGGTGTTTGTGGGACTGATTGGTGGAGCCTTTGACATCCTTTTGAAAAGGAAAAGAAAGCAGAGTGGCTTTTGATATTTCTGTAGAGTTCAGGAAAGTGGAGTGTCCTGTCGTCTCTTTGGGATCTTAGCACGTTTACCTGACGGCCAACTCAGGTTACTGTTTCAAGTCTCTTTGAACAGCAGGAGGATGAAGTGTCTGTTCTAACTTGCGCAATGAAAATGAGTTTTTAATTACTTCTGCCAACCTCCGAGAACCGCTGGTGTTAGAGGCACTCATGTAAGGGTTTTTACCTGTAGGAGTAGGTGACAGGTTTTCATATGTGTTTTTTTTTTGTGGGTGGGGAGGGGAGAAGTGTGTGGATGAAGTCGGAGGTCTGATAGTCTTGGCTCTTGCAGAAGCTTCCACTTATGAGTAAAAGCTAATTAGATAGGAGCTGGGGAGTTTGTAGTATTTTGTGCGTGTTGGAGGAGTATGTCAAACTTTTGCAGCTTCAGAAGACAGAAAGGGATGTCTTGTAGCTCCCCTTTTCCAGCTAGTAGAGGCCCCCAATTTTCTTATTGTATACAGAATCCCCCATACGTCTCCATTCTTGCCTTGGCCCCAGGAATTGAGAGAATCTGTTGTTAGGCTCTGAGTGGCTGTTACTATGGTCCTGTTTGTTCGAAGTTGCCTGGTGCGATTTAACACTGAGCAAATGACCACTGCTTTCTGGAGTGGGAGGAAGTGGCGGAACCGATCTGAGAGGGCAGGCTGCATTATTCCCACACCTTGAGGTGAGATGCTAGCCGGATGACTAGCAGAGCTGCTGACGGCTGAAATGATTTCTTCGGTGCTGACTGAGAGGTCTAAGAACATTGGACTGAGTCAGACCTTGGTTTTGGTTCTTACTTTACCCTTCACATCAAGCTGATTTGCCACCCTGGTCCTTGGGCTTCTGTAAAGGAAGGGGTTGGAGGAGCTAATATCTAAGACCCGTGTTTGTTTAGGGCTTTAGCAGTTGACAAAGGACTTGTATGTCTGTTCTCATGGAATGCAGAATGTTGGAGTGACCATATAGATTGTAGAGTGGGACGAGACAGGGATTTCTAGGCCTGCTTTCCCCTTCCCACTCTTGACAGGTCAGGTGTTTCTGTTTTGCTGTGAAAGATAGTTCATAGTCTCTCCTTTGGCTAATGGGTGCTCCTTTTTGGGTGGGTCGAGAAGGGGTACTTCTTGCCTAAGAAGACTTTGTAGGTGGACCTGGGTGGGAGTAGGGGTGAGATGGGAGGGGGGTGGAGGGCAGACTCTGAGATTAGGAAACTGTAGATTCCTTTTATTGCCAAAGTCATCCAGATTGCTGTGCCTATGAATCATGTTCTGACTTTGATAATTTAACCTTTTCGAGATATGCAGCCATTTTGGTTTGAGGTAGTAAAAGGAACAAGAATAAGACAGGCATGGATTTTCATCCAGCTTCCTATCTGTCCAATTTGGGGGCAGTCATGAGTGGGTTGTTTTAATCTCTCTGAGCTTCAATTGCCCCACATGCAAAGAAGGGAATAACATCACATGCTTTAAGGTGCCCCAGTACCGATACCCATTTTCGTCTTACCGAATTCTGACTCACAGCGAGTGTATAGTACAGAATAGATCTGCCCTGGAGTGTTTCTAAGACTGAGATCTGTATGGAATAAAACTGGCTCATCTTAGTCCTGCAGAGCAGCTGGTGGGTTTGAACTGCTGACGATGGGTTCTAGGTATCCAGTGCATAGTAGGTGCTTGGTAGATAGGAACGACTGCTCTTATTACAAATGGTTGACTTGCCCGAAGAGGTTGGGTTGATCTTCTTTTCTAGACTGTTTGCCCAGTGAAGGCTGGTAAGGTGGGCCGGCGCCCTGGTACTGTTAGGACTGTGCACTGTACGTCTGCTACTGGGTGCACAAGCAGTAATTAGTAACTTGATCTTGTTTTATTTTTTGACTTGCAGCGTATTTTGGGACCTTTACTGTGCAGCTCCTGAAAGGCGAGACACTTGTGAACATTCAAGTGAAGCAAAAGCCTTTCATGATTACGTGAGTAACAAAATTTTAATCCTGGCGATAATTACAGGGTTGGATAGCTCTAACTTGCTTTAGTACCAAAAGCAAACACACAGCCAATTGGCAGTGGTCTTTGTTTTTTCCCTGGCTTTTTTTCCCTATTCTCATGCCCACCTCCCCCTGCCCTTCCCACCATTATCCTCTTCCAATAGGGTTCTAACCTGGTGCATGGTATTTCATAATGTTGTAATTGTTCAAGAGAGTTGAGATAACTATCCGAAACATTATAATGGCATTGTGCAGGGTTCTGAACTGTGTGAGGTTCAGGTTAAGAGTGGACAGTTAGCTGTGAGGAGACTGAGCTTCTTTGGTGTTGGTTTAAGAAAAAAAAAAAAAGACTACAACAACAAAGTAAATGTGAAACTTGTGTTTGGAAGTAGGAAGGGTAATTGAGTAAGAATTTAGCAAAACGTTCAAATGATGTTTTGGTTGGGGATATGTGTATGGGGAGCGGGCTCATGTTGTGCCCTTTAAGACACTGTACTTTGTGTTCCTTGACTGGTCTGTATCTTGTACTCAAAATATTCTCGTGAAGATAGTTGTATCAAATTATGGTACTTTCTGCCCTAGTTTCTTAAGGTTGATAAATGATTACAAGAGAGATGTCTATGTTTGGTCATCATACTTCCCCACGGTATCCCCTACACGCACACTCACACACACACACACACACACACACACACACACACACATACTCTAAAAAAGATAGAACTTCAACCCTCCTTTCATCTAGCTCAAAATTAGAGTCAGACTTGGCGAGCTGACGAAACCATTTAGGATCTGTCTGGGAAAAATGGAAGGGGGGCTTGGATGTGTCTGAAGGTTTTCCATAGCCCCATCCAGTCCTTGTTTCCTGTTGGCCCTGTACATGGTTCAGTGTGTGTGTACTCGTGCACGTAGGAGGTAATCTATTTGGTCTTGCTCTCTGCGTGAGGTGGGTAGGAATGAACTCATGCTCTAGGCATGGAAGTTGGTTATTTGAATGTCTTCAGTTCCAACCCACTTGGCCAGGCTGTCTGTGTGTCTCCTGCATGCAGAGTTTGGAACTGGCCTCAGAATCTAGAACCCATCTGGTTTAGTTTCACAAGTGGTCACATCCATTACTATGAAGATCTTCATTGTGAACGTTACTCCTGTAATACCAAGAATGAGAGAGTTAGCTGGAGATTCACTGGTTTTGAGAATGTTTAGTGTGGTGAAACTTTGCTATGGCTGAGGAAATTGACCAGTTCTTGTGTTGTCTCCAAGAAAAGGAGAACTTGGTGAATGATACTTAGGACCTGGTGAACTTTTAGTAGTAAAAGATAGAGGTGACCGGTTCACTTGTGATGTGGTTCTTCTGGGAAAATCCCGTGGAGGTGTTGGTGATGATCATAGGGTTTCCTGATCTAGAGGCTGGGGAGGTTAAGAGTATATTAGCCAAATAAGAGTAGTTGGTGAATAGTGTCTTATGACCTTTACACCTATTAAAAATCTATATATATTTTAAAAATTTGTGAACAGATTACTCTTGTATACCTATCTTCTACTATTGTATAAATGGTTTCATTTTAGAGGGATGGCCACGTGGACATGTGTCTGTAATGTAAATCTCTTGATTTAGTACATCTGTTGTTTCCAAGATCACCTTTTACAGAAGTTCATGAATTTTAACCAAGCTTGGTATTCTCGTAAATAACGTGAGATCTGATTTCCCATCTTGAAACAACATGCTGGCAGTGAACGATGGAGCATGGGTTTGCTTTCAGGAGTTTGTTAAGGAATGGCAGTAGAATTGTGTGGAGATTTTGGATGTTTGTATTGACATCAGTGTTGGTATTGACACGATGGCAAATAACAACAACTCGTTCCTAGATGAGGTCACATTGATTGAGCGTCATGGTTCAAAGGTTTGGGAATCTAAACCTTGTATCCTGGATTGGGATCTACCTGGCCTCATGTAGTTTGAGAGCGATCACCCGGAAAGGAGGGTTGGTGTGACAAATGGGGACGGGAAGGAGTTAAGGGAGTGGTATCAAGTCATAGGGGAGGGTAGGTAGCAGAGAAGCAGCTAGAAACTTAGGGAATGTGAAAAGGTTCTCCTTTTTTCCCTTGCCCCTAAATCGTCATCTGTTTTCTCCATTCCCAAGTACTATCTACTTAGCCCTCATTCCTTCTTTTTTTTTTTTTTTTTAATTAATGTTTTATTGTGAATTGTGTGATAGTCTACATGGGAGAACATTAGTTTTACATTGATTCTTTCATCTATTGTTTCATTGGCATAGTTACCATCCCGTCCATGCATCCTCACCCAACCAAAGGGTGCCTCATTCCTTCTTGCTGGAATTGTTGCAGTGGTCTCTTCCTGGGTTCCTTCCTCTTGCCTGGAATGTATTCATCTCTTATCCGTTGAGATTCTATCCATCATTTAAGTTGTCCTTTTTGGAGGACTTTCATGATCATTTTCTGTATTGTGTGAGCACTGCTTCATTTCAGCATCATAAAAACCAATATGCAAAGTATGTGTTGGGGAGTAAGCACCACAAGTTCAGTACCTCGTTTCATCCATCATTCATTCTACCTGTCAGAGTAGCACATCATTAACTTCCATTTTGCAGATGAAGAAACTGAGGTACAGAGAGATTAATTTACAGCTGGTGTTTGAATTTAGGCTCCAAATACCAGTCATGACTGATGTCAGAACTGGGCTCCTGACGTCACTGTGACTTGGCTCCACAGCTCCATGGCAGATATCATTCATTTGGACCTATATGAACTCCTTATTCAAATTCATCTTTCCTAGGCCCCCAACCTCAACTTGCTAATTTTTCCCCTGCTAGAGGCTATGCACTATTTATCTCTATAGTTCTCACAATACATTGCCTATAATAAGGTCTCACAATAATTGAATGAAAGAATTAAGGAACTAAAAGTAGGGAAAAATAGGTAATTTGGGGTCATTGAGTAACTTGGGCTGGGACAACCCATGGAATTTTGGAAGATACTCTGGTGATTTAATTTTTCTGGTGATCTTGAGCAAGATGATTTTAATGGGGCTTAATTAGTTGCCTTGGAATTCCCTGGGTGACTACTAGCTGAAAGGTTGGCAGTATGAATCAACCCAGAGCGCTTGGAAGACAGACCAGGCCATCCACTTCCGAAGGTCATAACCCTGAAAACTCCGTGGAACAGTTCTGCTCTGCACACATGGGGTCTCATGAGTTTGAATTGACATGATGGCAAATAACAACAACTAGTTGTATTAAATCCTTTTTAGAAAACAAAGCGGAGTACAATTGAAAAACCTGCATTAACTGGTCTTCTGTTTCCTATCAAGGAGATTCAGAGATTCCCAGGTGTGGGAAGACTGCAGCCCAGGTACCACACACGGTCCTTGGTGGGTAGTAAGTGCTGAGGAAGGGTGAGAGTAGATCTCAGTGGGCTGCTGTCCTCACCTCTTTTGGGACAGTTCTCAGACTTGGCAAGCCATCAGACCTCTCCAGTAGCTGGGTCAGGTGACCTCAAAGGCTCCTCCCAGGCCAAGCCCTGGTTGTGGGGCCCTGAATGTGACTCAGTAGGAGGTGGGGGGAAGAGTGAATTTTCTTTGAATTGATGAGTTTTTCTTTGAGTCACAGTCTTATTTTCCCCCTCACACCTGGCAACTTCAGTTTTCATGGCTCATTGTTCAGAAGCTCTAGAGCCATGCTGCTGACCTCATAGAATGTGGAAATTTGGGGGAGATTTAGTATTGAGGGTGGACTTTTCTGAGAAATTGGTTTTCCTTACATCAGAAGGGCCCCAAGTCCTTGGAAGAACTGCCCACAGCGTCCCTGCTGTGGTTTCCTTGCTATTCTCAGGCCATGGAAATGTTGAGTAAAGTCCTTGGGGTCCCATCGGAGGTCTCTGGGTTCTCGTCAACTTGTTGTCTGGGGCCTGGCTTTTTGTAGTTGAGGCCTGACCCTTCCTTTTGGGAGGAGTAAGTGATTTATTTAAGACTCAGTGTCACCATTGTATGAGTTTCTCACCTGTGGACCCAGTGGTGCCTTGGCTCCTTTCTCCACGTTCATCTTCTCCAGGGTTTGCAGGGTTAATACAGGGTTAATACAAGTGTCTGTAGTGCTTTCTCAGACTACTAACAATTGTTGTTTTTTTTTCTTTTTTTCCTTGTGAGGGCTCATCTTGTGTTTTGCATTTCGTCTCAAGAAGTGAGTGGAGTAGCTGAGGTCCTGAGATGTGGACTCTTGAGTTGTAGGTGCTGGAGAATGGTGATGCCCATGTTCACTTACATGATCGTGACTGGCCCTCACAACTGCATTGGTGGCCAGTTTTATCATCATTCCCATTTCACAGATGAGGAGACTGAGGCCAGAAAGTTTAGATGACTTTCCAAAAGCATGTAGCAAGGAAATAGTAGAGCTGGGATGAAGACCCAATCGTTTGGATTCCAGCTCTCAGCTCTTGGCACACTTGCTGGAGAAAGGAGGGTATTTACATTTGATCTAAAGTGTTCCTGGTCAGAGTAAATGAGTTTTAACAGAGAAGTAAGTAAGCTGAGGTCTCTGAGAAATTAATGGCATGGGCAGAGATGAGGTCTAAACTCTAGGAAGGTGCTGTGGTGTGAGAAAAGCTAGGGAGCGATCTGCCTTCCAGAAAATGAGTACATTCCTAAATAGGAAGATTTGTAGATGATTTCTGCTGCCCAAATTCCAAGTCCATCTGTGGTCTCAGGCCGAGAACCTGGGGAGTGCCAAGTGACCTTGGAGAGTCTTGAGCCTTAGTTTTTCTGATGTGAGGACTTGCTGCGGTTGTGTTAACACACACACTCGATAGACTGTCTCTGTTACCTCATGCTTCCAGCCAGCAGCTCTCCCAGCTGCAGGACTTTGTTTTTAGGAGGCTGTGTCAGAGCAGAAATGTGCCCCAGAGTCGTGGGTATGGGTGTGAGCTGAGGCATTTGTGGTTGTGTGGCAGAGGCCCAATGTCCTTGGTGGGTT